AGCTTGGAGGCCAACACAGGAATGGGAGTGGAGAACAGAAAGGTGCCCCCTCCTGGTGCCCAGCACCGGGGTCTGAGAAAGGCGGGGGCTTGACTCACGGAGGCTAAACTGATCAGGGGAGCTTATTCCAGAAACACACTCTCAAGGAGCGAAATACATTTGGTTGTTGCCGTAAGTTTATTTTAGGATTAAGCTATGCAACCACCAGCAGTGTTTTATTCCTTATAAGGTATATTAGAGATTTTTAAATAATAATAACAGTAATAATAATAATTTGTTTCCTAGACCAAAAGGCCTCTGCTACAGAATAATGGTAACGAGGCTGTATTACCAAACTCCCAGTTGTTAGAGAAGGCGGCTATGGGATTTAGCACACAGCATGGTGACTACAGTTAATAATACTGTACTAATACTTGAAAGTTGCAGAGAGAGTAGGTCTTAAATGTTCTAACCACCACCAAAAAAAGAGAGAGGTAATTATGTGAGTTAATGGATGTATTAACTAACCTTATTGTGGTCATCAATCCACAATATATACATGTGTGTAAATATATAAAATCGTCACACTGTGCACTTTAAACTTACACAACGTCATGTCAGTTACATCTCAGTCAAGCTGGAAAGAATCAGGCTGCGTCGGAATTGTGTCTAGTTCTTGGAACGGTAGCTGTTGACCTTATCAAAGGAGCAATGGGACCGCATGAGGCCAGGCCAGGGTCTGAGGCAGCCGGTGGTGAAGGGCACTTCCAGCCAGGCAGGGCCTCTCCGCTGCTGGCATCTGTCCCCGGACGTAGCCAATGATGATTTCCACAATTTTATGACCCTTGGCCGTCATCCCAATAAGTCATAAGCCATCTTCTTCCCGTCTGTAAAATTCCACTTCTACACCCTGGCCTTTCCACCAAAATCTTTTTGAAACAGTCAAAATAGAGCCACATCTCCTTTATGTAACTTCAGCATATTCTCCTACTGCAGCCCTGACTGACACCTCCCCCTCCCCTCCCCCTCCCCCTCCCCCTGAAGTACTTGAGGATTGAGGAGGAAGGGGCAAGCTAGATGCCAAAGGATAAAGAAAATGCTTATTTGCGTTGCCTCTTCAGTGGGTGAGTTAGTTACTAAAAGCCAAGGGACTGGTCGTTTCTATATTAGATACATCATCTAGAACCATATGGATATTTAATGCTGGTAAATAGAGAAAATCATTTTCTGTGTTATTATAGAATTAGGGGGAGGTTGACTTGAACAAAAAGAGCAGTGGGAAGAAACAGGTCAAGCACAGGTTCTGAAGAAGCAAACCGAAATAGTCCTGTGAGCGGAAGGAGGCACAGGGAAGTGCAGTCACATCACACACACCGGAGTTCAGGATCCAGACAAGTAAAGAGGCCTCTGTCAGATCTAGGGGGTCAGGCTCCAGGTGGGGTTCAGAGCAGGTGTAGGGAAGTCAGAGCATGTCCAGGGAGAAGTACAGGCAGAACCCGAATGCTGACTGTCCTGAGTTTTTAAAAAGTCTTGCTTAGGATGAAAAGCTTTTAGCAGGTTTTTCCGTACTTCCCGGAGAAGCGCGTCCAGGTTCAACAAGTGCTTGTGACTCTGTAGCCAGAGCTAAGCTCGCTCTTGGAGGCCAGGCCAGTTAGAGTACTTTTTCCCATCAACTGCGTACCTACCATGTATCATAAACTCAGCTCAGTGCTGGGGAAAACACAGCGAAGTATGAGGTATGAACTGTAGTTCTTGCCCTCAGAATATAGCCTGGTTATGAAAACAGGACCTAAGTGTGTAAAAAGTTAAACAGCACGAAAGATAAATGGTTCAATCCAATAAGACAAGAGATTTTGCGGGGCAGAAATGCATTTTGTGACCAAATGGGTGGTACATATGGTAGATGCTATAGGAAGGGAGAGCTGAGAGTAACCACTGTGGCTTGGCAAGGTCTGGGAAAGGAAGGGATCTGAATTGTCTTGTCTTTAGATAAGTTGAGAGAAATAGTGAAGTCATGCCAGATGGAGGAATGGTGTAAAAGTGTGGAGGTAGGAAGTTTGAGAGGCATTTAAAAACAGTAAAACAGCTTAATTAGAGTTGGAGATGAAGCCAAAAGGTAGTTGAAATAAAAATGTGATGATGCTGAGTGAAAGAGTCCTCAACTTTATCTTCTAGACACGAAAAAGTCATTAAGAGTTTTTGGACAGAGGAGTGACATGCTTAGAAAAATCCTGGGAAAGTTGGTCTGGTGACTGAATATGGCAAATTAGAAGAAGAAAGATCGCTCAGAAAAACCAGGTGTCTATGTTTGCTTTAATTCTACTAGAAAGTGGTAAATGTTTTAACTATCAAATAGCAACAAGAACAGAAATAAAAAGATGAATGTAAGAGACATTTTGAAGGAGAGGATAATAAAATTTTGCCCTAACCGGTTTGGCTCAATGGATAAGGTGTCAGCCTGCAGGCTGAAAGGTCCCAGGTTCGATTCTGGTCAAGGGCATGTACCTTGGTTGCGGGCACATCCCCAATAGGGAGTGTGCAGGAGGCAGCTGGTCGATGTTTCTCTCTCATCGATGTTTCTAACTCTCTATCTCTCTCCCTTCCCCTCTGTAAAAAATCAATAAAAAATATTTTTAAAAACAAAAACAAAAACAAAAACTTAGCACCTTCTTGTCCATCGAGGCAAAGAAGAATCATCAAAGGTAAATGCATAGTTTTGGAACCAAGTGGCTAGAAGACTATTTTATGAACAGAAATGGGGATGTTAGGTTGGGGGGTGAGATGGCTACATTTTTAAGGAAAGATAATGAGTTGACCTTTAGATGATAGTCTTTGATGAAGCAGGAGGCAGAGATATATTGCTGGAAGGTACAAGGGAGAGCCTTGCCTGTGCTAAACGTGTGGGGGTCGCCTGCATAGAGATGACTGTTCTAGCTGTTTGAATGGATTATGTCTTCTAGAGAGAGAAGACTCAAAATGTTGGAGATGCCAACATTTTAAAGGAGGAAGCGGAAAGAAACCACCCAGCACGCAGTGTGCAGTGTGCAGTGAGAGACTAGGGAGGAGGCGACAGATTCGCGTAGACGCAGATAAGAGCATCGAGAAGGAAGCCGCGGTCAGCAGTATCAGATGTTGCAGAGAGGTCACCGAGAAAGGCTAGGGACTGAAGAAAGGCCACTGGGTTAGGCAGGAAGTCGTTCGCCTTTAGGACAGTCTCACAGAGTGTGTATGTGGGGTGGCGAGGAGGTGGATTAAGGATGGAGCCTTGAAGAACAGGGGTCTAGCACTGATTACAGGTGAGAAGAAGGAACAAAGCAAAGGGGAGAATATGGCGATTACTCCCCTTGCCTTCCAAGTTGGGAATGTGTGTGTGACACAGATGAAGACAGAAGGCAGAGATTAAGCCATTGATTCATTAAGGACTCTGATCCCATCAACAGGAAGAAATTAAAAGCTGTAGGAGAAAGAGAGGACAGTGGAGGGAACGGGGTTCAAGAGAAATCGGAAAGGGTGAATCATGAGAACAGGGGAACTTTGATGGCTGGAAAGGAGACACCTCTTCCTCTGAGACGGAGAGGAGAGAGTGGAGGATGGGTGTAGATTCAGGAATGCTTTGAAAGGAAGAGAATAAAGGTGGAAAGCAAGACTGCTGACCTTAGGCTTCTGGACAAAGTGGAAGGTGGGTGGCCTGCTGAGAGAGAGGCTGGACTAGGGTGATGGGCGATGGGGCGAAAATAAAAATGTTGAATACCACTCTGGGTATCACGAGGGGGTCAGAGAAACGCGGACATTAGGATGGCTGAACACCAACGGTGCTTGATAGGAAACCCACTTATAGGAGATGTTTATGACTGCAGCTTAGAAGACAGCACTGTGTTTTTCTACTGTCACCTTTAAGAACTTATTCTTGCCCTGGCTGGTTTGGCTCAATGGATAGAGCGTCAGCCTTCAGACTGAAGGGTCCCAGGTTCAATTCTGACCAAGGGCACATGCTGGGGTTGCGGGCTTGATCCCCAGGATGGGGCGTGCAGGAGGCAGCCAATCAATGATTCTCTCTCATCATTGATGTTTCTATCTCTCTCTCCCTCTCCCTTCCTCTCTAAAAGCAATAAAATATATTTTTTTAAAAAAATAACTTATTCTTCCTCATTGTCTTATTTTTCCTAATACATTTTCTATGAATTTTTTTTATTTCTACTATCACCATAATTATAACTTGCACAACTATTCCAGAGTTATGCTGAGGTTATCTAAATTGTGGGTGAGATGTTGGTCTGGAATAATACTTTCTAGATGAATTAATTTATTGACATATGCATTTAGCAGAAAAAGTTAGTGACTGAAACCCATGAATTATATTACCCACTTCCCCCAAAAGGTTGATATAATGCTTTAGACTATCTAAATGCAAACGCTGAACCAACTGCTTATCTACTCAACCCTATAGAATTCATCTAAGAGTAACTTAAGAATAAGATCCCAGGGGTAATTATGGATCATCCAGAAGCTAGCACGTCGTGAGTGGCTCCATGATTGGACCTTTGTGGGAACATGTTTCTTCATATGACTGAACCAGACACTCAGGGACTGGGACAAAGAGTAACTAACCATGGAGGACAACATACATAACAATTGCATAACAATACAGTCTTCAGTTTTGCTGGGATTGCAACCAGTGAGAATTGAGGAAGAATTCATTTCTATCACAAACATTATTTATAATATATATAATGAACAAAGTCCTGACATTCACATTCTGTGTCTCCATCTTAAATATATTCCTGACCCTGTAAGTCTCTCACCCTCCTGGTGGTGTCAGGTGGAACAACAAACTCCTTGGCCCCACAAACTGAGTGACCAGAATGTGCTTCTGGATGGAATGGATTCACCTCTGCAACCTTGTGTAAGTGGGGGGACATGTTCTATAGGCCCCAGCCACTGCTCAGGACGGAAATGAATCTGCTGAGTTTATTCATGCGATGGCAACTAAATATTTATTTTCTCCTTTCTTTCTCTTGTAGGTATGGCCTCACATGTGCAAGTTTTCTCCCCTCACACCCTTCAATCAAGTGCCTTCTGTAGTGTGAAGAAATTGAAAGTAGAGCCGAGTTCCAACTGGGACATGACTGGGTACGGCTCCCACAGCAAAGTGTATAGCCAGAGCAAGAACGTGCCACCTTCTCAGCCAGCCACCACAACCGTCAGCACCTCCTTGCCCATCCCGAACCCAAGCCTACCTTACGAGCAGACCATCATCTTCCCAGGAAGCACCGGGCACATAGTGGTCACATCAGCAAGCAGCACTTCTGTCACTGGGCAAGTCCTCGGCGGACCACATAACCTAATGCGTCGAAGCACTGTGAGCCTCCTTGACACCTACCAAAAATGCGGACTCAAGCGTAAGAGTGAGGAGATTGAGAACACAAGCAGCGTGCAGATCATCGAAGAGCATCCACCCATGATTCAGAATAATGCCAGCGGGGCCACTGTAGCCACTGCCACCACTTCGACTGCCACCTCCAAAAACAGTGGCTCCAACAGTGAAGGCGACTATCAGCTGGTCCAGCATGAGGTGCTGTGCTCCATGACCAACACGTACGAAGTTTTAGAGTTCCTGGGCCGAGGGACGTTTGGGCAAGTGGTCAAGTGCTGGAAACGGGGCACCAATGAAATTGTGGCCATCAAGATCCTAAAGAACCACCCGTCCTATGCCCGGCAAGGTCAGATCGAAGTGAGCATCCTGGCCCGCCTGAGCACAGAGAGTGCTGACGACTACAACTTTGTCCGGGCCTACGAGTGCTTCCAGCACAAGAATCACACGTGCTTGGTCTTTGAGATGCTGGAGCAGAACCTCTATGACTTTCTGAAGCAGAACAAGTTTAGTCCCTTGCCCCTCAAGTACATTCGCCCAGTCCTCCAGCAGGTGGCCACAGCCCTGATGAAGCTAAAGAGCCTGGGTCTTATCCATGCAGACCTCAAACCAGAAAACATCATGCTGGTGGATCCGTCCAGACAACCATACCGAGTGAAGGTCATCGACTTTGGGTCAGCCAGTCACGTGTCCAAGGCCGTGTGTTCCACCTACTTGCAGTCCAGATACTACAGGTAAGACCCTCTGCACTGAGACCGGAGATGCCGGCTGCCGGTGGCAGCCACAGGGAATGTGCAGTGCTAGTCACTGCGGGGGAGACAACTTTCTGTGCCTGCAGTGCTGCCTTCCGGTGAGCAGAACTTAGTCGGGAAATTAGGACGTGTGCACGTGGAAATGGTGATTGGAAGCCATGTAGAAGGGAGCCAGGTAAGGTTCTTGGCACACACGTTCAGAGTTGGAAGGGGCTCCTGGAGGGTGGGGTGAAGAGCAGATGCAGAGCAGGGTCCTCATGGATCCAGACATGGGTGGAAGAGAGAGGGGGACGTGCATTATTGAAGTCACTGTGGCAAGAACACGCAAGATTTTCATTGGAGACAAGGAGGACCCCTTCCTGGTCAGAACAGAGCCTCTGGGGGTCGTGGGAGCTGGGATTGGAAGGATAAGTTGGGGCAGGGTTGTCTTAAATACCAAACTAAGAGGATGCAATGAAGTCCTTAACGATGGAGCCAGCACTAAGCCACTAAGCGTTACAGCAGCAGAGGGTAACAGGACGAACGTGATGCTCTGAGAAGGTGGCATTTACATGTCCATGTTTGAGGGATTGAAGGAGCGACAGATGCCTCGGGCCCGTTGGCTTGCTCCTGGCGAGAGAAGGCCACGTTTTGGGTCAGGATGATGGGAAGATGGGGGGAGGATTGTAGGGAAGGGCAAAACCTTCATTCCTTCACTCCGCAAGGAGGCTTCACTGCTCACCTGAGCCGGCCACCGTGCTGGTGCCGGAATCCTGGGGTCGCTAGCAGGCCGGTTCCCACCCCTGGCCACACGGTAAAATCACCCCAAGGCTTTTAGAAGTAACCCGACTTGGGTCCCCATCTCCACAAACTGAATCCACATCTTTTTGGGGATCCCACTGCCCAGCCAGGGTTGCGACCCGGTGCTGCAGGGGGGGAGGGGGGCCCAGATGAGAGCACTGGCTTTGGAGTGAGAAGCCTGGCTTGACCCTGATCCCTGCACTGGCTAAGCTGTGCGACCTGGGCTTGCTGCCTCATTTCCCCGCGACTCCGCTCCCACACCCGTACACTCGGGAAATCGGTCACCAGCCCGTGGGGTTGTTGGGATGGTGGCACGTGGTGGGCGCAGGAAGGAGTGGGTGGAGTGAGACAGGACGGGCTGTTCTGTGGCAGTGGTGAGGGGCTGTGCTTGGAGTGATGTTGAACAGTCCAGTGAAGGTGGAAGGTGCCAGGAAACAAAACCAAACTCCCATGAGAAGATAGGGCTGATGATTCTGTCAGAATCCCAGGCTCATCTTTTCTGATGCCACACTTCCTTCCCGGCCACAGAGAAACGGCTGGAAAGCACGCGAGAGCCGGTGGGTGGCACAGTTGGCATCATCTGGACCTCCACCAGCCAGCGCCCCTTGTTACTGATGCACTGACCTTCGGGCCAGTCCCTCCACCCCAGCCCTCAGCCTGCAGCCTCGTGCATAGCCTACAAGGCAGGGTCCCCCACGTGCCCCCCTCACCTTCCTCACCTCCTGACTCGGGTCTCTAGGCCCCTCACCTGTGCTATTTGTCTCCCCGCCTAGGCCCACCCTCCCCTTAGGAGGCATTTCCTGAGCTACAGCAGCTCCTTTCTAGGCCCCTGGTCCGTCCTTCCCACCATTTCCTCCCCCCTCAGTGCAGGTGTGCGAGCATCTCCCGTCTGGGAGGAGAGGGCTTGCCGCTGCCTCCTGCTCACTCCCTTCCTGTCCACTCACTGGCTTCGTCAGCTTTGCGGTTGGCTCCCTGTCCCTCTGCTCTGGAGCAGGCGATCCTCATCACAGCCGAGGCCCCTGGGCTTGAAGGGAGAGGAGGGGACCCCCGTGTGTCCCTGGGGGCGGGGGTGAAGGAAGGCGGGCCAGCGCGGGCTCTCTGAAAGCGAGTTCGGTGGCGTCATTGCGGTCACCATGGCTCCCGCTGCTGAGGTCACTGTGCCGTTAGGTGCCCGGTTCAGCGTGCCACAGGCTGCTGCTTGCTAGGCCCTGGCCTGAGCTGAGGGTGAACGGCGGGCTGCTCGGCTTTTATGATTGAGTTATACTCGGGGGTTTCAGTGAACAGAACTGGCTTTATTCGAGTTACTGAAAAGTGAGCATGGCCGCCTGTGAAGACTTTAACAAACGCCATTTGAAAGGCAGCGCACACTCAGGGCAAAGCCTGGCGAACCCATACGTTGGCTTTGGGATCCTCAGGCGCTCTCTCTTCTCACCCGGTGTCCATGTGACACTTCCCGCCCTGCCCCAAGATGGGCGCTGTTTTACTTTGCTTGTCTGTCTGCGCCTCGTGCCCTGTACCCGGGACCCCCACTCGGGAAATCGGGGGCAGGAGGGACATCTCCGGTGGTGGTGAAGGCCTGCAGGCTGATGCTCCAGGGCTCTCATTAGCTCTCCTCTCTCTGCCCCCACTTTCCACCTCTGCCCACTCCCTCCCAGGCGCCCTGGTGCCGCATCCCCTGCCTTTACCCTCAGTGGCTGTTGCCCAACATTCTGAGGAGGAGAACCTCTTTTTCGTGGTTGCTTTGGCCAAAAGAGCAAGTGTCCACCCTTCCCGTCCTCATGCCCCTCACCCCCATCAGGCCAGGCTCTGGTTCCAAGGGCACAGTCACCCCAGAGCCAGCCCAGTCTTTCTGCTTGAAATGATGCTATGTCTCTGAATTGGTCACTGTGTCCTATTCCTCCATCCTGTCCCCCGGCCCTCGTCTGAGCCCCAGGGTAGCTGCTGAGAGTTTCAGGACAGTCTCTGCTATGTCTGTGCCAGTCCTGGCTGTGGGACAGCCAAGTCCGGGCCACATTTATCAAGTTGGTTTTCCCTGATTGCCTGGCCTCTTATGGGGGAGAGGGGATGGGGTAGGGTGGAGCACTTCAATTGTCCATTGTTAATCTGCACCTTAAGAGAATGTGCCTGTGCTTGAGCTGCCTGGGGTAGAGCTGCCTGGGGGAAGGTGCCTTATGCTATGGATCTAAGCAGACACAGGGCTTGGTTTCCCAGGATCCCCCGTGTCTGAGCTGGGTGCACCCTCTCTCCCCCCATACCTCTCACTTTCAAAGGGGAGAGCATTTCCATGTCCCTCCCTGTTTTACATGGGACAGTATCAAGCGTCTGGTCCCTGCCTAGTGATGTGGAAACAGTGGATATAAAGAGATGTTCCCGTCCGCAGCCTGGGGTACCTGGACAAGCAGATGGGGCGGAGGGAGTGAACTGTTTCCCTACCTGTTAGCCATTTGCGTGGCCGAGGTTGGGGGCATCTTGCTGTAGGTATTCTGTCAGGCAAGCCTGGTTGTGTGTAAAAAAAACAAAGGCTGCATTTTTAGTTTTTTAAGTTGATGCCTGGGTATCGTCTTCCAACTTGAAGGTCAGTTACAGGGTTAAGTGTCATCGCCCTGGTTCTCAAGCTTTATTATGCACAAGAATCACCTGGAGAGCTTGTTAAAAACAGATTTCTGCCAAGGTCCTGCCCCAGACCCAGGGCACCAGCCTCTCCAGAGGGAGTGTCCCCTGAGAAAGTACACACACACACACACACACACACACACACACACAGAACTGAAGGTGAGGTGGTCTGCCTTAGGCCCACTGTTTGAGAAACACTGCTCAGGGGAGAAGGGTTTTCTCAGTGGTGTCACCTTTCAGGTGTTCTCCCCTAAGGAAGGAGGTGTAGGTAATCCTGTTTGTCACTTCACCTTGGAAGCCCTCGCCATTTCCCTATTTGACTCTGCATTGGTGCCAGTTGTGTTTTTGGAACAGAGACAGTACATTGATATTATTTTTTTTTTTAAAAATACTCTTGTCTAGCTCAGCCGGCATGGCTCAGTGGTTGAGCGTTGACCTATGAACCAGGAGGTCATGGTTTCCAGTCAGTGCACATGCCCGGGTTGCAGGCTCGATCCCCAATGTGGGGCATGCAGGAAGCAGCCAACCAGTGATTCTTTCTTATCATTGATGTTTCTATCTCTCTCTCCCTCCCCCTTCCTCTCTGAAAGCAATAAAAAATATTTTTCTAAAAATACTCTTGTCTATTATACTTAATTTGAAGTACTTATGATCATTACTAGGACACCCCCCCGCCAAAAATGGGCATCAAAATTTAGGACATAAAAAATGGCCAGTAACCTACTTTTTCATAATAATCTAACCTTTTTGTCTGACTCTTTTGCTTGCAGAGACTATCTTCATGTTGATTCCATGGTTGTTTTAGGTGGGGGTGGAGATATATAATTCAGTTCAGTTCATCTGATGTCCATTGGGTTCCTACTGTGTGTCCTGTGGCAGATCTACTGAAGGGTACGAGATAAGGCATGAGCTCTGACCTTGAGGAGTGTACGCTCTCTCTGTGGAGATTAAAGACACAACCAGACTGCCTAGAGTCTAATTTGGATGCTTTGATATTGCAAATGTTTGATCAGATCATTCAGCAGATATTCATTGAGACTCTAGGGAACCAATGATGAGGAAACCAGTTAAAGAATTCAAAGTCAAGGATAGATTTTGCAAGATGGGTCAATAGGGAAGGGTTATAGAGCAAGAGCTACATTGAGGTAGGTCTTAAAGGAAATTCGAGATGGTGGTGGGGGACCTGGGAGCCAGGAGATTGGAATAAATAAGGGAAGATGGGAAACGGTGAGACCTGGAAGCAGTTGAAGGCCTGAGCTGGGAAATAGGGGTTAGGTGGGTGGTGTCTGACCATGGCGATTTTGATGAAGGCTTGAGGAGCTTGGATTTAACAAGGAGTAATTTCATGAAGTTAAGGATATTAATGAGGTTAATCGATTGGAATGGAAAAAACAAAAAGACATTAGGGAGAATTCAGAGGCTAGGAGACAATAAAAGTAGTTATTCAGGAATAAAGGGAAGAGGCCCTAGATTATAATGGGAGACCCCTCCTCCCCCCACCTCAAGAATAAATGTGAACACTTAGTCCTTTTAGCTGTTCTGTACTGTGATTACAGGGGTGGCCAAGAGGGAATCTTTGTTTTTGAACA